AGAGACACTGTTGTCTTGCTGGTATTTTAATCCTGGGGCCAGGTCTGTCCATCTTGTCTAATCTGCTATGGGTCCTACCTTCTCTAAATACCTACCCTTGATATTGCTGCTGTTGTTGAATGCTGTCGAGTCAGAACCAACCCACAGCTGACCCTCCAGTGGTTTTCAGAGGCTGTAAATCACAAAGGAGGAGACTGCTCATACTTTTTCCATAGAGAAGCTGGTGGATTCAAACCATGTGCCTCTGGGATTGTGACACAGTATCTTACCACTAGGCCCCCAGAACTCCCATAGTCTTTAAAAATTAGTATAAACTTTACCTCTGGTGGATCCCAGGGAATCTTCACTAATCTCCAGCCCACTTTGGGGCCTCACATTTTTATGTAGGCAGACACTGTGATCAAAGGCTCAGCATGCTTTCTGACAACGAACTCACCAGACAAAATCTTTGCATGTCAAATATTAACTTATTCAAGTTCAGGCTGAAGGCAGACACCATATATGAAAAAATAAGTGCAGGATCATGTTGTCCAACATGCACGCTGCTGAGGCAGCTGGAATCAAATAATAAATGAAGCTCAGAAAACTGATCCTCTGTGTACATACTATTTTTTAAAGTCAGCTTTGTCATTCCTTTGGCTCAGATTTTATTTGCTACTGCTTTATATTTTATTAACTCAAGGATATTGCCTTGGATCACAAGGTCTCTTTAAGGAAAATTTACACACACACATCTACTGGATATATGTAATACAATATATAGTACATATCTATTATCCAAACACATGTATATTGGAGCTCTGGTGACCTAGTAGCAAAAAGCTGTGCTGCAATCCCAAAGGCACTCAGTTCAAATCCACCAGCTGCTCCGTGAGAGGAGGATGGGCAATCTCCTCCAATGCAATTACCTGCCTCTGAAAACTCACCAGGCAAGCTCTGGTAGCCTAGTGGCAAGAAGCTGCACTGCAATCCCAGAGGTGAGCAATTCAAATCCACCAGATGCTCTGCTAAAGAAGGAGGGACAATCTCCTCTTTACCTGTTGTTGTTAGGTGCCATTAAATCGTAGGTGACTCATGGCGACCCTATGAACAAAAGGCCTGAGTACTGTTCACAGAGTTTCCAGAGGCAAGCCATTTCAGAAGTGGATGCCACTTCCTGCTTCCAAGCTTGTTTTAATCAGGAAGCTCCACCAAACACTGTCCACCATGGGCAACCATTATCACATCTGGCACATCAGTGTCACAGTACACACATAAAAAATAATTTTAAAAGGGAGCTCTGGTGGCCTAGTGGCAAGACACTGCACTGCAATCCCAGAGGTACGCAGTTCAAATTCACCAGAGGCTCTAATGGAGAAGGAGGGGACAATCTCGTCCTGTACCAGTCAGATCTGATTTGACGGTACACGTAAAAATAATACAATAAAAAGTAAAAAAAATTAAAACAAAAAATATTTAAAATTGAAAACCCACCAGAGGGTCAGCTATGGATCAGTCTCAATTCAATGGGACACAACAACAATAATACATATATTCCTTGCTCACATTAACTCACTTCCACTGGGTAAGAGCTGACCTTCTAGTGAGTTCCTGAGGCTATAAATCAAAGGAAAGAGATCATCCATCTTTCTTCAGGTAGTGTCTGGTGAACAGGCTATGCCACCCAAAAAAAAACCCCATCTGAGGTTACCTCAGCCAAAAGAAAGAAAATCAAAGTGAGAAAGTATCACTATCAGACTCAAGAAGCATGCAGTACATGAGACCACATGCCGCAGCCTACAAGTTGAAGCCTGCACTGCTGGTTTGAGTTTTAGAATGGAAGAACACTAGGCACACACAAAGCATTAACACTCACTGCCTTTGAGTTGGAACTAACTCATACTTGACTCTCCAGCAGGTTTCAGAGGCAGTAAATCTCACAGAAGGAGACTGTCCACTTTTCTCCTAAGAATCAGATTTAAACTTCCTGCCTTTGGTTTGACAGCACCAACTCTTTACTGAGGAGCCCAGGAGAGCTTCCCCAGTTCTAGAGATCTGAGATGCATATGTTGTGTACGGGGTTCACTACATCCGGAATTTCTGTATTGCTATAACTTTTTTTAAAAAATGCAACATATTGTTAAAACTTCTTCATTCAAATCTACTCATGTGTTTCTTGGTGCCATTCTACTCTGTTCTATAAGGTCCCTTTGGATTGGAATTGATTCAATGGCAATGAGGATCCTGTTTTGTTTGTTCATTTTCTTTCCCTTGTTTGTTCATTTTATTAATAACACTTCTAACTTTGCAATGACAATGATAACAACTAAAAGTTATGTGTGGCCACATAATTAAGTATGCAGATATATGTACACACATAAATGTACTTATGAATATATGTAGGTATATTCATACATAATCTTATGTATGCTAATAGCATATGTAATGAAATATTTCTAATTTATTATAAATAACAGTTATAATAAGGCACAGCTACACATACTTCTTCATTGTAACCAAACACCTCACAAGATTAGGTTCCAAGACACTGATGAAGCTGGAGAGCTTTATACTAGTATAGTGAAGTAAGTCAATCACAAAAGGGCAAATATTTTCTTATCATGGATATTCCTCTATTATAAAAAGAATAGGTGTATGTAATGAAACTAACATTCAGTGCTGGTTTCTAGTGAAAGGCAGGGAAAGGAGAGAAAGCTTTCTCTGGACATACATTTTTGTTATTTTGGAGAATGAGAAATATTATATCAAAGGTAGAAGTAAGCACAGCTTCACCATGGTAAATGATGTCACAAAGTATAAAACCAAAAAGGGACACATTTTGATAAATGCTAGGAAATATACAATAATGCAACAACTAAATAATAGGAGTGTGAAAATATGTTTATATGTGCATACAAGTATATGTATAAGAATGTATAAATGTGACTAGATTTAGGGACATCTACATTCAAGTTTATGTATCCCTATAGATTCATTTATACAATAAAGCACAACTGTGCTGCCAACCAAAAGGAACTTGGTTCAAATCTACCAGCTAGTCCATGGGAGAAGGATGGGCAATCTCCTGTGCCGTTTACTGCTCTGAAAATCTGCTGAAAGGTCAACTATGGGTCTTCCAACTGGATAGTACAGAATGACAACAACAACAACAACAGGGTAGTTTATGGGATCTGCTATTAGATAGGGTCGGTCTCATAAAACAACAGTCCACTGGCATTGCACAGCACACAAACTTTATGTTCTACATCCTAGCTTGCTAAGTGGTGCCTGGGGTCTGAAAAGTTTATGGGCACCCATCCAAGATATAACTACTGATCTCTAAGTGTATGGAATAAAAGAGAATGAAAGATGTAAAGGATTCAAAGAAGAAACTAGGCCAGAGGACAAAGGTTTACTCCTGTCAAGTCAGCAATGACTCAGAGCTGACCCTCTGTGTATGTCCAAGGCTGTAAATCACACACAAGGAAGACTGACCAAAGCTGCTGATGGATTCGACTGGCAGAGGGGTTAGCAGCCCAACTGTCTTTGGACTTTGCCATCAAAACTCCCTGGACTTAGTCTGCCAGGACTAAGGGCAGACAGGAATGTAATCTTACTGCCCCTGAGAACAGGAAAACTAGATGATGTCCTAGCCACCAATCCTTATCAAATAAATAGCTAGAATGACTTAAATGTGATTATGCAGATGCTCTAAGGTAAAGGCAGGGCAGGTGCTGGCCTCTGACCAGCATGCTTTCTTGTTGTGCAGCATCAGAGCCCAGCCTTGAAGGACAGGCATGACCACACTTAACACAAACAAAATAAGGATTTCAGGAAAAGAGAAGAGACTTAAACCACACAGCTAGACAATTATTAATGGAGGGGCCACTAGACAAATAATTTTAAAGGGGAAGCAGTGTTAAATCAGATTGGCCATGTGGAAAATAAATCAAATATGGCAGACTGTACAGGAATCTGAATGCTAGTCTGAAGAGCTGTACCTGTGATTCTCAAGCTGAAAACAAAGCAATCCTTTTTCTTAGCGGCTCTATCAGAATCACTAGTGTCTTAGGGAGAAGCTCTGGCGGGTTAGTGGTAAGAAAGTGCATTGCCAACACAAAGGAACATGGTTTGAATCCACAGAAGACAGATGCTTAATCTCCGCCTGTTCAATTTACTGTCTCTGAAAAACCCACTGGAGGGTCAGCTACAGTCAGTTCAGACTCATATCAACCACAACAGAAACACAAGGGTCTTAAATTCGTGTGAATGTGTATATGCTTCATACACCCAGGCCTGTAAATAAGGCATTATTAGCCTTCCACTCTCCCCTACGTTGAGAACCACAGACAAAAGGAGTATCTACTCATGGGGTGTATTGTATTCCTTGAAGAGTACAGAGAAAGAGAAAAGTGAAGAACCAACAAGTTGGACTTTCTGTGGCAATTCCTTATTATCTCAACACTCCCGGGTAAAACACAGGCATGGACAATCACTAGAGCAGAAGGGGTTAGATGGCACCAGTGTCTAAAATAATATCTTCTTAATGTCAAAGGCACCTCCATCCAAAGTCATGCCTGAAGTAAACTAAGAGAGGCCCCCTGGCTGACATTCACAGAGGTGTCTGCTCTGAGAGTCATAGCAGGCAATCTGCCAGGCCTCCTACTGGGTCCAAGGTGCCTTTCTGGTCTGATGATTAGCAGCTCTGCCTCCTTGCAACTTCTGGGACTTGCTTATGTCTGGGAGCTACTTAAATGAAGAAAGAGACAGAGAGAAAGAAAGACAGAGATATGGGGACAGAGAGAGAAAAAAAAAGACCCAGACATAGAAAGAGAGGCAGAGACAGAGATTAAAAAAAAAAAAGAAGAGAGAGATGGATACAGAAAGAGGGGCAAAGGCAGAGATAGAAAAAGAGAGAGATAAAGAAAAGGACAAAGTGTATGTCAGGCAAAAAGAGCCTCTCCATGTTGGCAGCACCCCTCCCCATGAGAGATACACACCCCACTCGGCCGCAGCCTCACCTGGACAGTCGGCTTCGTCACTCTCATCCTCACATGTCGCCCAGCCGTCACACTGCCAGGGGAGGGGGATGCACTGGATGGCCCCACTGCGACAGGCAAACTGCCCGGGGTTGCACCGCAGCTCTGTGGAACCAAAGGGCGAGAGGCCATTGACGAGGTGCCAGGAGGAATAGTGACCCGCTGGGCAGAGGCAGGGCTCCCCCACCAAGAGTGCTGAGGTGCACAGCACAGAGACCCTGCAGCATTGTCACAGCTCACCTGCTCAGGGACAATCTGGGCACTCAGAGAAAGAGCCGGAAGCCACTGGCAGTACCACAAACATTCTCAGGTGTCACTTCAAAAGAATGCTTGCCCAATCTCTATTCAGAATCAGGCCTTGCACTGGATTGCAGAGAAGGAAAAAACAAAAGGGGACACAAATCCCTCTTCAGGGTTCACAGATCTGTAGGGTGACGCATGTACAAAGATTCCTGACAAAGAACAAACAGTGGCAGCCACCATTTCAACCAGCTTCAAATGCCATGGAAAGAGACACAATTTCCAACAGAAAAGCTCTGGAGTACAGGGCAGGAGAGAAATGGGGTTTCCAAAGAGGTCATGGTTCAAAAACAAGGACAGACTGGAGACCAGAACTATTAGATGGTGCCCTGCTACCATTACAACAGGGGCCATTCTGATGAGAGGCACAACAGATGGACCTCACAGAATGGGAGACAAGTGAACCTGGAGACCAATACTCACATTCTTAAGAAGTTCAAAGTTACTGGACTGGTTGAAACTAGAGGAATCCCTAGTATTATCAATTTGAGGTACTAAACTCTGAACTAAAACTACTCCCAGGTCTTCAGTTGAACTAGTAAACAAGGTGGCAAGATGGCATCAATACCTAGACCCTTTTCTGCCATCTGGTGGACCTGACCTGACACTTGGGGCATGGGACACATATGGATGGAGAAGGTATCCATGTCTGCACATCCTGAAGGGACAGCTTAGAGTCTACAGGACAGAACACTGGACAGCAAAAGGCTGTACAAGACAAAGTTTCAGAGCCTCCCACAGTCCCCTCAGCCACTTTGGAGGATACCTGTCAGCACTGGTTGGGAGAGGGAAGAATAAGTGAAAGCAGTAACTGAAGCTCAAGAACCATGAGCGTTCTCAGCACCAGACTGGGAGAGCTCATGGATCTTCAGCATACGGGAGCGCGCTCGGCAGAGGCTTGACTCTGTGAGAGTGGGTGGGACTAACCAGGCTGAACCCCGCCAAACACACACAAGACTGTTTCCAAACTATAATCTAGGACAAAGCCCAGGAATAATGACAGCTGAAGCACCACTTCACATGCACTGCTGCAGGTAGCTGACAGGCAGCAGGTCCCTAATTATGGTACTACTGCACAACTGTGATCCACACAACTTTCCTGGTGCTCTAGTGGCCCAAGTTGTATTACCTTGGCTCAAGTGGTAAATTGCATTAACAATGCAAAGGCACACGACTCTAATCTATCATATGCTTCACAGGAGAAAGATGGACAGATTTTACCTCCCATGTCTTTCAGCATAATGTCCTCCAGCTTCACCTACATTGTGTAATGTTTTATGAGTTCATTGTTTTTTCCATGCTGTGTAATATTCCATTGTATGGACATACCACAGTTTTTCTATCCTTTCACTTGTTGATAGGCACTTGGGCTGCTTCCATCTCTTTGTAAATAATGTTCCAATAAACATGGGTTTGCATACATCTGTTTGAGTTACAGCTTTGATTTCTTTAGGGTAGAGTCACAGTTGTGGGATACCTGGATCTAATGGTATTTCTATTCCCAAGTTCTTGAGAAAGCACCAGACTGCCTTCCATAATAGTTGTACCATTTTACATTCTCACCAGCAGTGAGTAAGAGTCCCAATCTCTCTAAAGCTCATCAGCATTTGCAGTCTGTGCCATATACTTTTAAATGTCACAGAAGTAGCAGAACACCTCCGATATGGGGATGACTCCAGGCAGCTGGAGGAGCCTTAAAGCATCCTGCAGTCCTCCCTAAGGCAACCTCTGGCTGAGAAGACCTGGGGCTGAAGTAGAGCTTATGAGAGGCCTGGGAGCTGGGCTGGACTGCTGTGGAGGTTTCAGTAGTGCTGACTTTAGGCAGGAAAACTTCTGTGTTGATTCGACTGCTGGCCTACATGAACCTCTTCAATCCCAGCTTTGCGGCTGTGGTCCTTGACATCATCTTCAACCCCCTCTTCTGGAATGTGGTTACAAGATGGGAGGAGACACACAGGCTGAGCCACCCTACCTGGACTGCTGTCGCTGGGCAGTGCTCCTGCTGAACCTGGTTCACTCACACTGCTACACACAGGCTATGCTAAGCCAGCCCAAGATGGAGAGCCTTGATAATGTCACAGGCCTCTCATTATTGGGAGCAGGTGTTACGCTCATGCTTTCCAGCTTCTCCACACTTATCTTCTCTGGAACCTTCCTGGTGACTACTTCAGGATCCTAAAGGAAGCTAGAGTGATGACATTCCCATTTGGGCTCTTGACCAATCTCATATCCTGGGGCAGCACAACCAACTACCTGGGATGGGCTATCATACATGCCAGCCCCACAGGCCTGCTGCTGCCTACAATCATGGCCCTTGTCTATATGGTTGCCATGCTCTATGAGGAGCCCTTCACAGACCAGATCAAGCATGAGAAAGACATCTAGTCCAAGAGGGGGAACTGATGGGCCAGCTGTGAAGCGGGAATCAGCAGTGACTGTCCTGGGGGGGGGTCAAAGTCCTTGGCCCCCACTGCCCAGCACTTGAACTTCAGATACTCCAGTGCCTTAGAAAACTGCTGCCATAGGGGTCTGGCTGGCTGCCACAAAGCCTCTGAGCCCCTTCTAACTATTGCTCCCCCAGATCTAGACTTCCCAATAAATACCCCTGAGTTAGTGGGGGCGGGGGGGGG